ACGTTGAGACTCTTAGACAAACATCTTTTCGGGTGGTTATAGCTGGAAATTCAGAACAATGACACACCCCAGGGCAGATCGGAGCGAGCATACAAGTTCACCGCAAGAAATTGGATCAGGTTACTGGGTGTACCACCTACCACGCCTGTCCACTGACTCTTGTCTCAGCCGGTGTTTATGGACGACTGGATTGATGACAGCATGGTAAGTCAACGCTTGAATGGCCTCTCGACCATCCTTTCTGATGACGTCCACCAGGTGCCCCATCATCATCATCATCATCATCATCATCATCATCATCATCATCATCATCATTTTCATCATCATCATCATCATCATCATCATCATCATCATCATCATCATCATCACCACCACCACCACCACCACCACCACCACCACCACCACCACCACCACCAAAATCGTCACCATTATTATCATCATTACCATCAACATCATCATCATCCCGTGGGCACACACGGGAGCCTACATAGGAAGGTGATGGGGTTGTGGCGCGGTTTGGAATGTTGTCGCACACACCGCTTGTGTCCTGCCCCATCTCCGGTCTTCTCGACTTTTGACTTGACAACACATTCAGGTGTAAGAGTCGTCAGAGAGTGGGTAGATTCTCCGCAAGTCTACTTTCACTATAATCCCGCGGGAGTCGCCACGTTGGCCTCAGCCTGCTGAAGCTCGTGGTGGACATCGTCGAGAGCGACATTCGAACTATCGGGTTAGCACTAATCCTCCTGACCGCGGTGGTCCAAGTCAAGATATCACCGCTCGGTAAAGCCTTATTCGAGTTCCCAAAGGGAGAATACGACAAGATGGGTGCAACAGCAGAAGTTTTTGAGTGTATCTTGTACAACACATTTAGTGTAACAAACGCGTGTGAAGCTATATCCATCGGGCCAACGTAGGCGCCGGTAGGATTGGCTGGTGACTCGGTGACTGTAGCTAGAAATTTAAATTATTGATTGATTGTCTGGCACGATGCGTTAGCTCGCGTGTAGGCCGATTGATAGCCTACTGTGAACGCGGCTGCTGCTTGTATGCTAGATGTTTCGTCCCTCCTAACATACGGTTTTATGAGATAGTCCAGAAGACCGGAAACGGGTAGGTCCGATCCTAACGGAATGGGAGTGCTATAGAGCCTACAATAAGAAGGAAACATTGCAGCTTGGCTCTCAGCCCACCAGTCGGTCAGCCCACACAAAACACACTGGACTGACTGATTTAAATCTTCAGCTGGTAGCCTCTCAAACTTAGGAGTCGACATCACACAGTTCCCCCTTATCTCTCGTATGTCAGTCAATAATCTGGCTCAATTTACTAACTACCGTTGAGATCGGACGCAGCGACTGACAGAACTTAACAATCCATAAGCGTGCGCCAAACACGACCTGAACCCAAAACATCACACCAGGATTTCAAAAAAATGTGTGGGGGGCTGCTCAAACCCTACATGTGAAGGAGTGTCATGGGGGCGACGTGGACAAGGAGCTCGATTCCTACTTGCCTGAGATGTGCCAATTCTGTGCTTATGGTGGGTGATGGCGGACTGGTTCGTGTACAGTGAATATGCTGATGACGATAAATGTGAAAGTAGGGTTTGCCCGGCTGTGTTGTGCCGCGCGCTTTCATGGATGTGCGCGTGGCTGAGTGAGTTATTTAGCTGTTTAAGGAACTAGCGAAGATTACAGGTAATTCAACCTACTTAAAATGTGTAAGTAGGCAGCTGCAATACATATGGACTTTTCGAAGACCGCACGAGGAATCTATGACAATGTTTGTTGCGCCGGTGGAAGGAAGGTTGATAGTGCTGAGGGTGATATGTGTGTGTGTGTCGAATGTGCTTGGCGTATCAATATTGTAGTGCATCTCGTTATACAGTAGTCGCCGGCTATTAAGCCCACCTCGGGCCCAGACCAAAT